GCTCGTGGCTTACCGACGTCTTCACATGCTTCTTGTCATGGCGGTGGCTGGCAGTGTCTCCCTCTGTCTTCCTGTTCCCTCCTTTCTCCTCTCTGTTAGTCCCGCCTATACTTCCTCCCTGGCCACTGGACAATCAGTGTTTTATTTATTGACCAATCAGAGCATTTGACATACAGACCATCCCACAGCACCAAGAGGAGGAGCAAAAAGACCTCCCCCCAACACAGAAAAGGGCAGATCATCTCAGATACCTGGAGACCATGTACGTGGTCAAGCCATCTCCTAAGGCAGCCCTGCTGTGTAAAGCAAGACCAGATCTAACTGGGAAACTTTCATGGGCTCCCACAGCACAGTTGCTAAAGTGGTTGCCAAAAGCACATGCAGACCTGACCTAGGATGCCCAGAGCCATTGTAAAAGACAAGATGTGCTTGGGGCATCTGTAACTCTATAGTGAAGTAGAGAGCATGTATTCCCAAAACTTGCTGTTCAGTCAGGCTAACTAAAGGTGAGTGCCATGTTTAGTGAGAGACCCAGGCTCTAAAGACATGGTGGACAGTGACTGAAGAAGACCAGGCATGCAAACTCATTCCTACACATAAAAATAATCAACACAGATATTTAATCCTAAAACCCAGCAAACTACAAATATCAGCTACCACTTATAAAATTATATGGTTTAATACAATCCTCCTGCCTCAACCTAACAAGTGCAGTGTTGCAGGTGTGGACCACCACACTCAATTCATGTGTTCTGGAGGTAGAACCCAGAACTCAGTGCATGCTAGGCAAGCACTCTACCAACTGAGCTATATCCCCAGCCCTCTGAATCCTCACCTGTAAAATGGGAATAATAAACCTTGCTCTGCATAGGTGTTTAGTCCAGTATCTGGCTTATAGCCAGTGATGCAGCTCTCAGTTGTTTAGTCAATATGGAAGCAGTATAACACTGCACCTAATAAGAGAGGCTTTGGACAGGGAATATGACTCAGGGAATAAAGGTGCTTGCTACCAATCTGAATCTAAGTTCCATCCCCAGGACTCACATGCTTGAAAGAGAGAACCGACTTCTGCAAGGTGTCCTCAGATCTGCACACATGTGTTGTGGCAGAGGCATGCTTTCCCCAGAAATACATAAAATCTTGAAATGTTTTTAAACAGAGGCCTTGGATGATGTAGCTCTGTTTCCAGAACCAAATGTCATCACTTCTAAGCTGGGTGGCCTTGGGCAATTGGCCCAGATTTCTCATCTTCCTCATCAGGGACCTCATCTATATTTTAGTATCTAGCTGATGAGGCTGTAGTGAGGTTAAATGATTCCAAGTAAATGACCAGTAAATGGTGCCTTCCTTGTTACTTCTGTGTCCCTTCCAAACCTGCCCAGGGCCAAGCAGAGTCCAGATGTCCTAGAGTGTAAACCTACCACTGCAGGTGATCTCATTCCCAGAACACAAGTCTGAGTATAGACTGGTGTAGGGGGTGTCTATGAAGAATTTGAAGCTTTCCAGATTCTCGATCTGAGTATAGCAGTGGTCATCAGTCTGGCAGCACCTGGAAAGAGGAAGGAGCAGCTGAGGGAAGGGTATGGACCCACAGGAGATCATTTCTAACCTGAGTCTTTACCAAAGAGGTGACAGTAACTTAAACACTATGTTCCAGAAGAAATTGTCCTGAGACTTCATAATCTGTGATTTCTAAAACACATATTTATGGAAAGCAACTTCTGTGGGTTGTGGTGGTGTCCACCATTAGTCCCAGTACTTGGGAGGCAGATGCAGATGGATCTCTGAGTTTAAGATCAGCATGGTCTCCTGAAAGAGTTCCAGGAAACCTAGGGCTACACGGGGAATCCTTGTCTAGAAACAAATTACAAAATAATAAAGAAACAAAACAAAATATATGATGTTGGCGAATTTGAATGTCTCCTGTTCTTGTCTCCTGAGATGCTCTGCTTGTGCCCTGTTCCCACTGGAACTCCGACATTCCAGTATCCCACCAGACAGATCACTCCTCCACTGGGGTGTCTGAGCCCCCAATGGCAAGTAGCAGCCATAGTTGTACTCTGAGAAGGGATGGCTCCTGGGGATGGTGGACTTGATCATACTGCCCAATTGTTACCCAGCCGGAGGGTGATGCTGTGTGCAGTAGCACCTGCTATAAGAATGCACAGCAACTCCATCAATCCCACTGGCCTGCATGCTAGCTTCGTCCTGGACTCCTAACAGCTGCTGCATCAGGAGGTGTGTGTGTGAGTGTGAGTGTGTGTGTGTGTGTGTGTGTGTGTGTGTGTGTGTGTGTGTGTGCATGTTTGCCCCAACACAGGTAAAAGCAAGCACTTGGGACCAGTCATAAATGCCATGCTAACATGAGGAGGTCGGAGCATAGCTATAGAAAGTCGGAGACGGGCCCAGCGGCGGCCCGCTGAGGTAGACAGGCCCGGCGGCGGCAGCCGACAGGGACATTCAGGCCCAGCAACGGCCCACAGAGGTAGACATGCCCGGTGGTGGAGACAAGCAGACTCAGGTAGGCCCGCGCTTCGCGGCCCGCAGTGGTAGATGGGCCTGGCGGCGGCAGCCGACAGGGACATTCAGCCCCAGCAGCAGCCAGCAGAGACATTCAGGCCCAGTGGCGGCCCACAGAGGTAGACGGGCCCGGCGGCGGCGGCAGCCGACAGGGACATTCAGTCCCGGCGGCAGCCGGCAGAGACACGCAGGCCCAGTGGTTGCCCACAGAGGTAGACGGGCCCAGCGGCGGCCCGCTGAGGTAGACGGCCCGACAGCAGCAGCTGACAGGGACATTCAGTCCCATCAGCAGCCGGCAGAGACATTCAGGCCCAGTGGCGGCCCACAGAGGTAGACAGGCACAGCGGTGGAGACAAGCAGACGCAGGTAGGCCCACGGAGGTTGCCCGCAGAGGTAGACGGGCCCGGCAGCGGCGGCCAACAGGGACATACAGGCCCAGCGGCAGCCGGCAGAGAAATACAGGCCCGGTGGTGGCCCGCAGAGGCAGACAGACCCAGTGGCAGCTGACAGGGACATACAGGCCCGGCGGCCGACTGCAGAGGTAGACAGGCCCAGGGACGGAGACAAGCAGACACAGCTTGGAACAGGGACACCCCTAACCCCAACACCTGGGGAAGAAGCTATCTCCGTGGGTTGGAGCCAGAATGAATCTGAACA